GTCGCTGTTCTCTTAAAGCATAATCTTAATTAGTACCTTTAATATAATTAGATTTAATTAAAAAAGAAAATTAGCTAAATTTAACTGCTGAACATCCAATGAAGTACTGGATATTGGATCTATCCTTTTGCTACTCCATCTATATCTTTATAAAATCCCTCCCTGAGACCCAAGGATTGGTCATGGATATTCAGCAGTTAGGCCGAAATGCTAAGCATTTTCCACTATGTAAGAAGTGGCAGTTAGCCTATTTCGATCATTTCTGTATCCTCGATGTTGCCATGTCCAACTCCATCGTTTCTATAAATTAAAACGTATATACACGCTACTCACGATTACAACAAAATATACACTTACCTATGATTCTGTAAATGTGTATTGTGTAAACTAAAGTGTGTCGATCGCGGTGAGAAACCACGTATATAGCTCCTACGTGGACTTCTAGCATTTATTACTCGTGGCTGTGAATACATATCCTCTAGTATACTAGGCGCCACATACGTGAAACCCTGAAATATATCAAAATATGTTGCTAAAAGATCAAATGAAACCGTGCCGTGAATTAAAATAAAAGTTATATAAGAACGAACTTGAAATACTCTGTTTGCAGATTCACTTAACGTATATTCCGCAGGAGAGTCTATTGGCGCGGACGTTGTGAATTTTTTATCAAATTGTGACACATCATCGTCGCTTGCTAACATTGGTTTAAAAGGCGGTTCTAATTTTCGAGAGATAACATCATTCCAATTAATATGCTTAAAAAATTGGTGACTCTTTACTTGTTCTGCGTCCGATGGACCAGAGCCTAGTCTTTGCGCGACATTCCTCTATAAAAGATGAATACATAATTATACCTTATGGACATCGTTACCTCGGAGAATCGAGGTATTCGTACTTCTTATAAATCCAAAAATTGACCTTTAATAATTTCTGGATGAGATTCCTGGAATCAGGTGTCAAATACTGTGGAAGATTTAGCCTACCATGTATAATTTTGGCAACAGTTTTCTTTCTATTGTCAGATGTAAATGGTGGCTAAACACATAATATGAAAACATCTATAAGCTGTGTGAATTCATTAGTACATATAAATGTTTTTAACAATACTTACAGAACCTGTAAGCATATCATACATTAAGGTTCCAAGACTCCACCAATCCACAGCTTTACCATGACCGGTTCGTGTTAGAATTTCTGGAGCCCTTTTATGGAACCACAGAACATTAATATTAATGCTAATGCAGTAAAGAATTTTAATTGCATCAAATGAATTTTCCTTACATATATTCTATAGTACCACAGAATGTATGTGTAACAGTACCATCTTGAATGTGTTCTTTACACAAACCAAAATCAGTTAGTTTTATATGACCATCAGCATCTAACAAGATGTTTTCTGGTTTCAAGTCTCTGCAAAGTTGTTAATTATACGTCAACTAACAGATTTACATTGAACACAGATTTAATGGAAGAGTAAAATACCTATAAATAATTCCTTGTAAATGGAGATGTTGTAAAGCCAATATTATTTCCGATATGTAAAAACTGCACAAATAAAATAGATATTCAAATCTCTTGTAAGTCACTACATCATGTTACAATTTGTAGTGGTAAAGTAGTTTCACCTACCAAGCAGTTTCTTCAAGGAAAATTCCTTCTGCATTCAAATGTCGAAACAATTCACCACCACACATATATTCCAAAATCAAATATAATTTGCCACCAGTTTGAAAAGCATACATTAGGTCTACGATGAAAGGATGCTGCCATATATAAATATACATACATTTGAATGTATCATACTTCTTTAAACTTTATTTAATAAAAGTGTAGCTCATAAATAACATAATAAAAGGATAACTATATGCTTAAGATCATCATAAATATTTTTCTTGCAAAGGAATACTATTACTCTAATATAGAATATAATATAAGAAATCAGACGGCAAGGAATTACAAATATCGTCTGATCTTGTTAAATCTATGCCCTTTATACGTACCTTTACAGCTTCCAAGATATTTCTTTCAGCCTTAGTATGAGCTGTATCTTTTTGATTCCTTATAATTGAAGCTTTGCGTAAGACCTATTTCAATTAAACATTAATTAAACAAAATCCTATTTTAACACTCAAATTAAGTCCTACCAGATGAAGCATTACATTGAATAATAATATTCTTTACCAAGTATTTTATCATCTTCCACTTTGTAAAATTCATGAAGGTGAAAATAGAAAATCAATTAAACTATATTTAACACGAGAATCGATAAAAAAAAAAATTACAATCACTTTCAAGGATACATAGAGACAAAGAAAGACAAAGAACTTGCATAATTTTTAGTAAAACATTGAACTGACATCTTATAGGTATTAAAAATGAAAATACGTTCGAAATATTCTATCGTACCCATCGTCTGACATCAATCAAGGATCGATTAACTTAAGGAAAACAATTAATTTATACATCCTTCCTACCTTCATTGCGAAGATCGTGCCGCTGTCATTACCCGTTATTTTACGCACTTGAAAGACCTTGCCATAACCACCCTTCCCGATAACTTTGCAAAGTTCGAAATCTTGAGGGCCGACCCTTTCTCGTCCCCGATTAACATTCTGTTCCGATATGGGTACCGCCTCGCCACCTTCCGACCTAACAGACGTAAAATTGTCATTGCCTCGAAAGCTGTGCACGAGTCCGTACGTCAGCCAGGAAAAAGGCTTACTCACTTGGCGATCTCGTTCACGTTCGGATTCACATCGTACTCTTCCTATGTAAAAAGAAACGAATAGGAAAACGTTATGGTACGTGTAATTCGAAGAATAAAGAAATTGTGAAAAGTGTACGACGTTAAGGAGAAACTGGTGTGGCGATCGCGTGCAGATGGTGAATTACCTCGCCGATCTCGATAAGATAATCGTCGGACTCGTCCCTGTTTTCCGTGTCCGCATCGTGCAACTCGATATCGAAAACAGCGGCCATTCTAACACGCAGTTAGCTGAAAACCGACGTGATCTCGCGTACGACGGGAAAGCGAATTATATCTCGTTTCTAACAAATGACAATGGCTCGACAATATTGTTACACGGTCAAAAACTTGAATTACTGCGAACAAGCTGCCCCGTCCCAGGGCATACCAAACACCCTCACTTCGCGCACTTTCCGATTGGCTGTAGATCGCGTCATCGCATGGTTATCGGAGTGGGAGGGTAGGCATTTTCCACCAATCGGGCCACGTTATCAAAATTCCTCGTTCGATGCGTTTCGCGGCTCATTTGAATGCTGCTGTTTCACTTGAGAAAAAGCTGGCAATGCGCAATAAAAATTATTTGAATTGCAAACGTATATCGTTCACAGAAATCGAAACGTTTCTCGCATGTGTGCACGTATACAGGGTGTCCCAAAAATGTTGTAACACATTGAAAGAGGTGGTTCGGGAGGTGATTTGAAACAACTTTTTCCTTAGCGAAAATATTGTCCGAGGCTTCGTTGAACAGATATTAACGGAAAACACTGACCAATCAGAGCGCAAGGATGCCGGTGGAGCGGTCGCGGTAGCGTATGAGCGCAGGCCTAGCGCGTAGTCTTCGCTACCACGGCTGCTCCAACGGTATACGCGCGCTCTGATTGGTCGGGGTTTTCTCTTAATATCTCCCCAACGAAGCCTCGGACGACATTTTCGCTAAGGAAAAAGTTGTTTAAAATCACCTCCCGAACCACCCCTTTCAAGGTGATGCAACATTTTTGGGACACCCTGTATTTTTGAAAACTATTTATTTAGTATTAGTACCTGTGGCGCCATCGGTGTGAAAACGCCCAAGTTTGTAGGGAAAATACTTTTCTCTGTTGCTTCTAGATGGCGCCATTCATATATTTTAATCTGTATTTATCACTGGTGGTCTTTTTGATCATCTTTTCCCCCGAATTTTTGGCCTTGAAATTTATATCTTTATTTTGGAAATTCCAAGGTCCTTGGTACTCCCTAATTTGTAAATGTAGTGCTAATTATGTATCTATCGAATCGATATCAAGCTTCTTGATAAAAAGCCTTTTCTTATCACTCGCGTTAATGCCGAAACTCACAATATCCCATGTAGTGGGTTGTCACAGTCTCCAAACTGATAAGAAGTCATTACGTGTTGACGAATTGACAATATAACATTTTAACATCATAGTGAAAATAAATAAGAGAACAAAAGATGGTTCTGCGTCATCGTGTTCAAGGATATGAAAATTTTTTCAAATTTGTTGAAAACTTGAAGGTTAACGAACCGGTTTATGTACTTTACAGTGGTACAAAACTTCCAAATGGCAAAAGTTGGTGCCCCGACTGTGTCGAAGGTATGAATTTTTAAATACAGTCGTTTGTTTGGCACATAACCTACGTTTCTATGTTTCACATGTATCTATCATGAACGAAATTTAATTTTTGTTTCATAGCCGAACCTTTCATAGAAGAAGGATTTAAGGTGGCCCCTGAAACAGCACATTTAGTTGTAGTCGAAGTTGGCGATAGACCGTAGTAAGTATATATATATATATATATATAGCTCGAAATAGTATACGAATACACAGGTTATAAAACTAAAATAAAAACATGAAAACCCTTTCCTCTCAGCTGGAAAGATTTGAATTGTCCGTTTCGAACGAATTCCACAACGAAATTGAGAGTTCTACCCACCTTGGCAAGATGGGGCACTCAAAAACGCCTAGAGGGTGATCAGTGTTTAAAAGTTGATCTCATCACGATGTTACTGACTGATGAGGATGATTAAAGTATTCAGGTTTGTACGATATGCAATCAAAGCCAAAACAAGCAACTCTGTAAGTCTTGTGCAATAAGTATTATTTTCAAAGTTGTTTGCTATAAATTTGTTTGTTTTATTGTTAAAAACCTTGGTAAAACATTCTCCCTCTTTTTACAAACATGTACACACTTAACTATGATGTATGTATAAACTCTCTACACGTGTAATAAAAATAACTAGAACTATTACAAATACCATATAACATTTTTTAATACAATCAAAGAATCGAACAATTGTACATACAAACGAAAGTCTTAGAAATGTACAAATAAGTTAGTTATGTAAAATTTATTGATATAACAAAATATACTTTCATAGAATGATTTTTGGTATTTTGATAAAATATGAATAAAAAGAACAGTAACAGAAATAGAAGACCATTGTTTTCCTGATAGGCTAATAATACATTCAGGAATGTATTAATTGAAAGCAACCATTTTATTATGAAGTAGTTGATGTAATTTCTTGCGATTCCGCTGGTGGTAAAACTCGTACCGAATAATGAATTTTCTTGCTTCTTAAAAGACTGTAACTGTTATCAAAAACGACCGAATCTAAAACAGATAAAATTACCGATACATCATCTCCATCGTTACATATTTAATCCGATCGAATAAGTTATTTACTCACATGTAGCAGGTGCTTCGCAAGTTAAAATTCCAATTTCGTCCAATTGATGAGCAGCTACTCGTCGTACAGGAACAATTTCCTTTTTCGTCCCGTTCGTATCCTTTTTCAGTATGCCAAATTTAATATCGTGGTCCTCTGACCGAAATTCCCAACTAAAAACATCCAAGATTAGGAACATAGAAATCACTCTATCGCGAATAATTCATATACCTCAATAAGGATCCCATTTCTGATGCTGACATATCGAGCACCAGCTTTCCACCCTTTCGAATTGTCACAGTTGTAAAGTCGTTCTGTTGCTTATCCTTGTCCACATTTTCTACATACATCTCCTTTGGTATCTTACCACCCAGACAAATCTGAATTCAATTAAAATTCTGGATTGATTCGCTAATACGACTTTGTATTCTATCATAACTATTTCAAATGTTTGTTTTATTTATAAAACACGTGGATTCAGAGATTCGACCAAAGTTCTTTACCTTCGTTCGAACCTTCGTGTTGCCATCTGGATCGGTAAGGGTGCCTCCAAAAAATGCTGGCACCTGATCTCTTTCGATATTAGAAAATATCGCCGATTGCCACTTTGGCGGATCAGCCTTGTATATCTGAATCTTCGACAACGTGTACTCGTTCATAAATTTCTTCGCGACTGAAAACGCTAACGCGAACACTTTAGGTGCTGGAAGTAAACGAAAAAAAAAAAAAAATTATAAATACAAGCCGCAGCTTCGCAACGTACGCGTTATACACGTCGGTGATTTACCGTTAATTATGTAGCAGATCTTTAGGATCTCGGGGTAATTGGCTTCGTACATTTGGATTAGGGTGAGGACGACTTCTCCAGCTGAAAAAGAAGTTTGCTATTAGCTTCTCGGTAGACATAATCACGTTTTTATTTGTTCATTGTGAAATTCGAGTACTAATTTGTGCGCAACAGTGATAACGGAATCAATGTCGAGAGAAAAAAATAATTCTCTCGACTTCCTGTTAGAGAACGAAAGACATTGCAAAAAGTGGAGAGCTCGCAAAAGTAAATGTGAAAGGAATAGTATCGCGACGTACAAAAATCGCGCGAGTATTCAATCATTCCACGAAGTATAAATTTCGTAAGCGAAAAAATATCGCGGCGTTATGTAATCGTCTGTTAATGATCTGTTTTTGTGGACCAAGGAAATTTAGCCGCTCGAAAAGAGCCTTTTGATCGAAATAGTTGTATAAAGGCTTGCGTAATCGCGAACAGCGTGGTTTTACCTGGCCTCCACAGGTATTGCCTCAAATTAAATCCTTGCATGTCGAAAATCACGACCACCTCGCCAGCTGCAGGGCCGTGTTTCTTCATTTGTTCGTGAGTTATTTTCAGGTACTCCTCCAAACATTTTATAGTGACTCTGATCATGTCCCGCCGCGAAACTACGTGCAGGATACCGTACAAGTCCAGCGCGTCGAAATATATAACGATCACTGCCAAAAAGGTTGCTTTCGGGTTAACACGTCGAAAATACAATATAATTGTACGTTTAGAAATTAAACTTTACTAGAAACTTTACCTGGCGCTCCATCCTTATCGAAACCGCATAGCCCATGAGGCAGAAAATCTTTAAGAATTTGAGGTGGATCCCATTCAGGTAATTTGTCGACTTCCCATTGTTTCCGCCACTCCATAGACTGTGGAAAAGAAATGCGAATTAAAAAGAATTCGAAACGATAAATAATTGCGCTTACGTACATGTACGCAACTTAATCAGACGTCGATTGGAATGAACGTTGTATATAAATTTCGCTCCAGAAATTCTCTTTTTAGAGGACACCCAAAGACCTAGTTAATAGTTTTCACTGGCCAGTGATCCCGTTTCTAAAAATTCGGTTTAGAAACGAAACGGCGTGGATAATCATCCGCGGAGTTGTGAAATTTAATTCCCACTTCGGTTTACGAAGAGAAAGGAAAACGCGATTGCAACTAATGCATCGCAATATCCGTTATTCTATCGAAAAAGAAAGTATGTAGTAACTTTGAAAGTTTTCGTGTGTCAACGATTGCGTCGCGTGCTTCGGCCAATAGCCGAAACGCGTATGGACTCGTGGAACGAAAAAGGTTTACGATTATCGCGAGACTTGTCGCGAACATTACAGAAATCCTGTTACAAACGCCCGCAGAAATTGTATTAGGTTGTCCCAAAAGTTTCTTTCGTAATTTGCACTCAATTATTTTGTGTGGCGGTGTTTACATAAACAGACAATCTAATTTCTTAGATGTTGACGTTGTAGCAGTAATGGAGCAAAATGAATCGTACACAATTCGATAAAAACATTAAAATATTAACGTTATACATAAAATATTGTGTATGTATTACTTGTTATTAAAACGAAAGAAACTTTTTGGACAACCTAATGGAATGGTTGTTTATTTGACACAAGTGCCGGAATCGCTATAAAAATGAAAGAATGAACAAGTCGGGAAAGAGAGATTATTTTATGAATGGTGAATAATTAAAACATGCTTTTTTTTGTCTTAGTTCACTAATATCCAATTAATTACCTTTCATAAAAAAAAATTTTCTTTCCGTTCTTTTCCTCTTTTACTATGAATATCAATCCCCGCCGTCAAAGTGCTCACAGCGCAGATAGCGTAAGCAAATATTTTCTTTCTACTTAATCGCTTCCATTTACAATTGCATCAGCGATACGCACGATGCCCGATAATAGTCATTATACGCGCAGTGAGAACATAAAAGCACGCGACACCGTGATCCCACAATGAATGCTTCCTTATTTAAGTCGCACGTTTTCTTTCCCGCTTCTTTCGGGAAAGCAATTTGCTCGACACTCTTCTCGCTGTTTCTCAGGGTGTAATTAAGTTTGCAAAAGATGCTAGAACGGAGTAGGTGACATTTAAGTCGTGGGGTGGGAAGGTTGAGAATGAAAAATAACAATTCACGACAAAGACAATCGGCTGCAACGACAGGAAAACGAGACATAAATTCTTGAGGGAACTCCTCGAAGAGGATTCCTTTTTGATCTCGCCTTTGTTGACAGCAAGGTGTGCAATTTTCATTCTTTATACGTCTGTAATTACCCGTTATCCGTGCCTAATTATTTACCCGTGGCAACAAGAATCTGTAATCTATCATCGAGCAAAGGTAAATTAAAACTGGGGAGGGATGAGGCACGTTGCTTCCTGATTGATTACAGGTCGAACTTTCGAACAAGCTCATCATAGAAAAGAAGAAGTATCGTGGAAACGAAAGTGTGTCTCGACGATCTGCAAACCACGAAACGCATCATCGTTGTTTATATGCTAAACAATTCATTCGCGGCACTCTCTCCGCGCTCTTTGGACTGAAGTGTAAATTGAACGCTTACGCATCGTTTCCGCCAGGTAATTTTCTGCTTGATCGCCGAACCATCTCGATGCTTTATTTAACGGTTGGTTAGTTCGGTTATCGACGAATCGGGAGAAATACACGTTTCCATTCCAAAGGTATTCTAACATTATTTGCGCGAATCAGAATTGGCAAGCTCCCGAGGTTCGAGAATTATTTTTATGGTTGGAAACAATTTTCGGTTTCGTTTTTCACATTTAAATGTAATTTAAACTAGTACGTCGGGTTTCAACCGCTGTCGTTCAATCTATGATTGATGACCTGTAAGTTTTCTAAACTGGTGATTAGGAAACGTTAAAGAGTACGTTCCATATACACGATTTAGGAGGAAGTGGATATCGGTATAAAAAGCAAAAAGCTACTCTGATCGAGATGAACGATCTCTTCCTCCAAATTTCTTCTTCTTGCTACATTCAGACGAATTTTATTTAAGGTTCCGCACGATTTTAACCAATGCAAGTATTAGGTTGTCTCAAAAGTTTCTTTCGTTTTATTAATAAGTAATACGTACACGATATTTTGTGTCTAATGTTACTTTATTGAATTGTGTACGATTCATTTAAGAAATTAGATTGTCTATTCATATAAACACTGTCACACAAAATAATTGAGTGCAAATTACGAAAGAAACTTTTGGGACAACCCAATAGAATGTATAGAGCGGTTGTTATCTAATCTAAATTGTACAAATGAGACAAATTGCTTTAGTAAATAGAAGTAAAAGTATACTTTAAAGTCTTTATCGCTTTTGCAAGCCAAGCATTAAGTCTTATTGTACTCAAACAATTCTATTAGTACAGCATTGTCGACTTTCAGTAAACTGTCCTCGTTCGTCGTAGCATGTTTTTTTTTTTTTTTTTTTTTTTGAAAGCTAACTGTTCAACTGAATGCATAATACAAACAGCTTTCCTATGCAATTATTATGAAACTGAAAGCAGAGACGCGGTTCGAATACGTAATTGAATGTTTAAAAACACACTTACATCTCGTAGCATCTTCTCCGCGGCGGCTGGGTCCCATTTTCTGGCTGAAAAAAAAACGCATGCTCTTTGAATTTTTTTTTTTCCACGAGACATCAAAGAATTGTACGTATCCAACGCGTTTCATACTTAAGATTTGATCTAATCGATCGCATCGGAATAATAAGCATCGTGTAAATAAAAGAAAAATAATATTTAATCTTGTCTCGACGTCAAATTTTTGATAACAACGTGCAAAGTGTGTAACAGATAACGACACCGTTGATACGATGCAATCCAGTATCTTTCAATTATAAACAAATTCGAGATAAGTGTACACATTACACAAGATTTCATCAAAGTTTAAAATCGTTGAAAAATCCAGCGTTAAATTTTTATGCCAGCAATGATCTCGTCGATTTTTAAATGCTCCAAGTCTGGTTCTATACAAAAAAAAAAAAAAGAAAAATAAACGTTAACATCGTTGACAACTTGTCCGAACTGCTCGTACAAACGAGTGCCTATACTTCGATACCGGCTTTCCTGAAACTACTAAACCTTTTTTCCACGAAAGTCTGCATTCGTCATTAAAATATAACCATGACTTTGTGAAGTTTAATTTCGAATACAGAGTAGATACGTCATTATACGAGTTCTTGTACGTGTATAGTTACTCGTTGACGATGATCGACCGCGAATGAATGTTCACAATTGAAAGATATTCCATGGAAATTGCCAATGCTTGAACGAAGTTACTATTCCTTGACCGTTGACCGAGAAACTTCTTATTATTCATCGAAAGGGGAAACCTCTTCGATACCGCATGGTGAAAAAATTTTGTAAAACGATTACATTGTCCGGTGAAACTAACGATGTTGAACGCGCATATAGTAGTCATCTCGAGACGGTGCCGATCGGAATGAAATAAGTGGACGTGAATTACTTAATGGTGCATAAAAGCGATAGTTCGGTTCGAGCACGCATAGCGTAACGCGCCTAACGTTGAGAAACTGTGCGAACGGTTGCAGTAAATTTCAAGTATTCGTACCTCTTAGCCAGCGCAGTAGAAAGTAATCGTCGTGATGCGGTTGCAAAATGTTTTGAACTGACCGCCTAAACTGAAACCAGAAATTTGCAGGGATTACTCGTTTACGTAACACCCATATCCTTGCAAAACGCGCATGCATCGCAATCACTTACACGCCTGTAATTATACTGTACAATTCTATATTATTGCTGTAGTTATATTGTCGAGTATAGTTACAGGGTCACGGTGTACAGTTAGTCTGTTAAAGTAGCGAAAATGATGCAACGTAATTAGCACATAGTCAGCGCATCATAGTTAATTACTATAGAGTAGTAGCTCATAGTAGAAATATATACTATAGTACAGTAATTTATAATTTAACTATAAAATATCAGGTCTTGTCGGAATAGTGCTATTACACTATAGAAGAATTACTGTAGTAACTACACCACGACTTTGGTATACACTATAATCCTCGTTGTGTTTCTAAGATCTCCCATAGTACTGCACAGTTTCTTCCTCGAAGAATTTACCGCAATTCATTCCATCCAAGATTAGCGAAAACTATTCTTCCGCGAAACAATTCAGCGTTTTTACGATTAGGAGAAAAATAAGTGTTCGACCATTTCGTTTCCGTGGCGTTCACAAAACCGATTGCGTTTACTTTCACGCGAACTTTTCGCCACGTCAAACTAGGCCACTTAGCCCAACCCCAAATACCATGAGACGAGTGTGAATTATATTTCATCTGAAAGCGACATGTGTCTTTGGATAGTTAATAAAGTCTATCGTCGAGACACGATCTAATAACGTACTCGTACGTAATGAACGTTTCGCTCGCAGTGCGAATTAGGCCAACTACTTTGTCACCGCGATTGATTGCACTTTAAAACAAAACTGGCGTGCATGATTTGCAAAGCGAATGCAATGGCTAATGCAAAGAGAAGGAGGCAAAAAATTTAAAGGTGAGACGATCGAACGATACGTGCAACGATTACTTCACTTCAATGGAACCGGTTCTTTTTTTTTTTTTTTCCTTTCCGAAGAGAATCCTTGAGGTACAAGACGCGAGGCTCACGGCGAAATTGTCCGTTCTCGCTGCTCGCAGGATCTTTACAATCACAGTAATTGCAAAATGTCCTCGCAATCTTTCCATTCCCGGATGGGCGAGCTCAAAGAACGAAATTGCTCGCTTCTGTGTCAGCCTAAATTGGTCATTAGACGATAGCACGATGCCATGCCATGTTCGGCGAGGAACGCTTAAAATCGTGCAATTTACGACGCAACCAATTTTTTTTCCCATGAGAAGTGGAATTAAAAACAAATAATACGATGGCAGAGCTTCGAAAGAACACGAGCAAAATTCTGTACATATTTGATAGCGTAAGCAGTATTCTCTTTCGCAATGACTCTCGATTGTCTATCCGAATAATTGTAGTTTGCATTTGACAACGAAAGAAAAGCGACATAAATATTTGCATCGATTCACGAAGAACAAACGTGACGACAGAGAAAATATTACGTAACATCGTAACAGTAACATCGTAACAGTAACAGTAACAGTGTCATCGTAACAGTAACATCGTAACAGTAACAGTAACAGTATCATCGTAACACCGTAACATCGTCACAGTAACATCCTAACAGTAACAGTAACAGTATCATCGTAACACCGTAACATCGTCACAGTATCATCGTAACACTAACATCGTAACAGTAACAGTAACAGTATCATCGTAACACCGTAACATCGTAACACTAACAGTAACAGTGTCACCGTAACACCGTAACATCGTCACAGTAACATCGTAACAGTAACAGTAAC